CGTACCCACTGTATATATATATATATATATATATATATATTACAAGAAAAACTTAAATGAAAAACTACTAAACATGTTGCCTTGGCATCTCACTGAAATAAGTACTAAAATTAAAAAAATGAATCAAATTCAATTAAATATACATAGAAATATATAAAACTGAAAATGTCAAAAGCTCATAACCAAATTAATAAACTAAAACTAAAATGAAAATATAAAACAAAAGCAAATAAAATAATACTAAAGTACAATAATAATAGTATATAAATAACACTGTCAGTAAACAATTTTGTTAAAGCATTTTCTGTGAAATAATAAAAAGATTACTTTTAAAGAATTTCATTCTTTTTGAATCCTTCTGATTAAATTAACAGAACCAGACAAAAAAAGAGCGTCATGTCATTGACCCATCAGTGAGTCAACTACGCAAAGACAGATTCATGAAATTACAGCGAGTTTTAATTTCAGAGTGACAGTGTAGTTGAAGCTGTGTTTCTGTCCACTCACCCACATGGCATCATCATTCACCACCACCAGAGCAAACTCATGCCTTTTGTCGATCTTGTGCTTGGTTCTCACAAACATCTCAATCATTTTCTGTGAAATATTTAAGGCGTTCGTCTTGGACCTGGAAATATAAATCATTCACAGAAAATGTATTTCAAATACATTCGTCTTTTCTAAATGAATGTGATAAACCAAGGAAACGGTTTAACTGAAAAACTGTAAAGTTACCCATTAAACGACTCCAGTTTTTGTAGAGACATCTCCTCTGAAAGGTCCAAGCAGATGATCTGTATAAAAAAAAAAAAAGATATTGCGAGAAAACTTGACTGACAGATGTGTTTTCAGATGCACATATCCTGAAAGCCTGGAAGTTATTGACAGACCTACCACTTTCTCTGGGCAGTTGACTCGTGGCGCCCGCAGGTGTAACTCAGCTGATGGGGGGATCTGGGTGCTCATGGACGGCTGAGGGGGTTTGGGTCTCTCCTTCACCGCAGAAGCTATGGCAGGCATGCTGGCCGTGGAGCTTCCCGTCGCAGTAACAGCTGCAGGTGCGGTGGCTGAGATGGCGGTGGCAGAAGTCGGAGGGCTGTCGGAGCTGGCCGCTTCTCCCTCTCCCTCCACACGGCTGCCCACGGCCGGCTGTGGTGGCGGCGGCGGCGGTGGCGATGCAAGGCTGTTGTTCAGACTGCCGGTGCTGCTGCGCCGGTCCTCTGCACCCTCCGGATTGGAGCGGGTCCTGGGTCTCAGCTCCATCATCCGCTCCTCACCATCTGCCTGACCGGGCTCAGGGGTCTCCATGACAACCTGACAACATCAGAACACCACATATTACAGTAAATCACACCAATAAACGAAGAATAACAATATAACTGTTATATACCTGTACATAAAATTGTCGACTTGTATATTTTTTATTCCTTATTTTACTTGATCTATTTTTTATTATCTGTGTTTTTTT